TTAGAGGTAAAGATTGATTTTATGATTCAGTGTTTGATAGTATATCTGAAGCTAAACCCTTATCTATTTCTATTTTTTTATGTTTATGTCTTGCTCTTGAGCTTTTAATTACTCTTTTAGATTTTTTTTTCTAAGTTAGTAAAGTATTGGCACTTCAAGAAAAATGTAATTCTTGTAAGAAAATATGTTGTTTGCATACATTATCTTTATCTTCTTTTGTTACAAAACAAACTACTGTAAAGTTCTGTTTTCTAAGTGTGAAGAGATCTTTAGGTATGTAGCATGCTTTTGCTTGAGTGCTATTTAATGTCCTGGCTACCAAACTAGTATATGTTTTGTTTGTATCCAGAAGTAATGCTGAGTTATAGTTTCTCTTAATTAAAATATTATTGATTTCCTTATTACTTAATTCTGATTTTGAAAAAATGGCTCTTAATATTTTTGTGCCAATTGGAATCATCTATTTGCTTCTAAATCAAGGTTAAGATATTTGTGCCACTTGATATATGCCTTAACCCTGAATTTAGTATTTATCTTATAGATATAGATATTTTGAACCTCTCTATATCTTTTTAGGTGTTCAGCTATATAATATTTGCTCACTTTTTGATCAATATTAATCAAGTAGACATACTAGATAGGAGTATTTTCTTCAGTTTTAGTTTTATGGAAGATTTTTTATTTAGATCTTTTCTAGTTTTGTATATATTATCCATAACTTATGAAGTTATTTGCTGAATAGTAAAATTGTTTTCTTTTCAATTTGTTTCCTCTATATATTTTTGAATATCTTCTTTCTCTTGTATCTAAAAGGTTAACTATTTATTTCTATTAATGAATTCTTTCTTCAGAAGGTTTCTTTTTTCTTGTAACAATTTTAGTATATTGCCTAAATAAATCTTAATTTCTTTTTTAGACTTCCTTGAGATGTTAGCTGTTATTGCTTCAAGTCTATAGTTTACTTTTTTCTTTATAAAGTATGAATTTGTTGATAGGGCTAGTTCCTTGTTTTTAGTAGCATATGAGCTATGTTTATTTATACAGTGGCTTTTGATTTTTTCTTGAAGTTTTAAGGAATCTAACTCTTTTTGTTCTTGAACACATGTCATTGTAATTTCATTATCTATTATTGATTTACAGTCTACCTGTTTAATAATTTCCATTGGTTAAGATTTGAGTTTATATATTTCTTCTGGATTTTTGATAATTTTTAGAAACTTATCTTCTATATAGGACTGAAGAAGATCTTCTTTATTGCCTTTTCCCAGTTACCAAAGATATAATAAGTGTTGAGTTAAGATTTGTTCTTTATAAAAGATTGTTTTATCAATTTACAGTATCTTAGCAATAATACTATCTAAGACTGTATATGTTTTAGATAATACAGCTATTTCTTCATTAACTTTGATTCTTCTTTATTATAATAGTTATTAGAAAACCCATAGCTTTGAATACTCATCATGTTTTTGTGAAAGCTTAACTAAGGTATCAATGATATTCTCTTCTTTTTTATTTATTATTTGCAGTATATATTGAGCTCTATTCATACTTGCTACTGCATTATTTATATTATGTCACATATTTTGTTGTTGGATCTATTGTTTTAACAGATTTACTTTTGTTTACTTGTTTATTAAATATGTTATTTTAGTTTTAAACTTTTAAGTTTATCTATTGTTATTGTATTTTGCTTGATCAATGTGAAGTAAACATATATTTACTGATTGTTTTCCTGTTTGCTGTTTAGTATTGATCTATTATTTATTATCTGTAAGATAACTAATTATATATAATACAACTTTATTAATAAGTTTTGGATATATGTTATATTTGTTATATTAAGAGATGTATTATATAAATGTTGTTTTTATATAAGTATATTGTAAGGATGTGTATATGTTTTATATTATATGTTTATTGTCTATATATTGTAATTGAATTGCTATCTATGTTCTTTAGCTATTGCTCTTGAGTTCCTGACATCCTTTTAAATTTTTGTGACTTTTGAGTTTTAACTAGTTTACTAGTTAAAACTATTATATTGAAAAGGTTCCTTCTAATGTCTAGAAAGGTGTTAATTTGCACTGGCCTGATTAAGAGCTAGGAGAGTTAATGTTGAGTCCTTTGACCTTACTTTGATTTAGATTTTTTTTTTATTTTTTTTCTTCTCAAAAATTTTAGTAAAATGTAATACTGTTATGAAAAGTATGTACTCTCTATTTTGATTTATTTTCTTTAATCCCTCAAATAAAATATAATTGTTGTTATAGTATATATATTTTTTAAATTTAGTGAATAACATTTGAATAAAATTTAATGATTTTAAACTTTTAGAAATTGTAATTTAAAATATTAAAACATGTTTTGTTTAAAATAATTCTTGTAAAAGAAAATGAATTTTTTTTTAGATTCATTTTTCTTTTTTGATAATTTAACTTTACCTTATTTATCTATAAAAACTAGATGAAATTCTTGATTTAATTTTGTTTTTGGATAGAAAAATATTTACATTATTTGAAAGTTTTTTTTTTCAAGAATAAAATACAAATAATGAAAACAAGGTAGTTAAAGAATTAATTACAATATTTAGTAATTTAACAAATACTTTTATGTTCAAAATTTTAACAATGTTTATTGTATTTAATGCAAAAAGATAAGTTATTTATATTATAATTTTAATTAATTAATTTTTTATTATTATAGTTTTTATAATAGTTTAAATTTTTTAAAATTCGTAACAAACCTATAGCACATCTTATGTTTACAAAATTATATTTATTTCAATCTCATTTACAATTGGATACAATCCAATCTCTAATTAGTAATAAAATGAATACCAAATTTAATTTTTTAAATGTAAATTTATCAATATTTCAAGAAATATTTTTTAAAGCTTTTCAATTAATATTAGATAAGTTTAAAAAACATATTGATCATCATTTGCATTATTATTATTTAAAACTATTCAATGTTTTAATCCTCAATGTATACAAATTAATCAAACAAGATATAATATTCAAAGATATAATGAAATCAAAGAATTTAAAAATCCTAGTAACATTATTTTATTTGAATGGAAAATTTATTGTGAATTAAATAAAGATTTTGAAGAAGATAATGAATTATATTTAGATAAATACTGGAATGATAAAAAAAATCATCTTCCAAATTTGTCTAAAATAGCATTAATGTATATTTGACTTTCAGTATCAGGGGTTGATGTAGAAAGAAGTTTTTCATCTTATAGAAATATTATTAGTGATAAACATTGTTCATTATTGAAGGAATCAATTTCCATTTTAAATTTTTTATATTTTAATAAGAATTAATAAATATAATACTTTTTTCACATTTTTTCGCATTTTTTTGCTTTTCTTTGAGCATATTTTAAAGTCATAAAGGATATATTTCGACATATATAATAAATTACTGCACGCATATTTTTGATTGGCCAACGCATATATGCGGCCATCGAGTCATATGACAAAATCAATTGAGTCATATGACGCAATTAATCGAGTCAACAGCAAAATAATTTCAGCCGCGTGTACTGTATAATTCAATTATAAAAGTTTGATTAATACCGTATCCATTTATAATGGGCATTAAAAACTTTTAATATAAGATCATACACAGTTACACAGTCTAGCTGGACTAGTGATCGCTTTTATTTGGTTTTGAGTCAAAACCAAACCAATTGGTTTTTTAAAAGTATGGACAAACCGAACCATTCAAGACCGAATCAAACCATGATTGGACTGCACCTTTTTCACTCTGATTCATATAAGGGGTCAATAGGTGAGTGAGCAGATGGGTGAATGGATGTGGTTATAAATAGTAATCTTTAAATGCTCTAGAATGTAACAGTAATACTGTTTTTTATAGATTACGTAATAACAGATCGGTCGTGCTTTAACACAATATGCACGGTGCATATCAGTAGCGTACGTTATCAGGTGGCCGATTATAACCTCGTGAAATTCGAATACCGCATTTCCAAAGAAGTAAATATAATCTCGGATTCGGAAATAAGAAACACTAATAACAATCAATCTTTTTGAAATTTCTATTCTGTCATTTTTATAATTATCATCTTTTTTTGTATACAGTTTATACACGATAATAAGCCGATGACAATAACACACATTGTTGTATCGCGTAAAATTGAGTGCCGCGAGGAATGATGCACAGAAGACCAGTGTACAAACAAAATAAAAAAAATTTTTTTTTCACAAAGAACGATGATACTGATGTGGTCGCACACATACCTCCACGTGAAAGGATCGAATCGCCTCGTCATCTTGATCCTTTGTAGCACACATTATGAGTCTTGCGCACGTCCCGGTGACTCCTTGAATGTGCTAAATATAAAGTATGTTCTTGCACCGCATTTGCAATACACCGCCATCTTACTGCAAATATCAGCGTACTTTTTCCGCGTACCGTAGTACGGTGTAGAAATTGCTGTGTCAGTGACGCGGTTATGTTATGTTGCGTAAGAAAAGACATCGTTCCTTTATGTACAGTATATGATTTGAGAGTATTATGGTTTCACCACATGGGGAAACCTTGGCACTTATGCCATGAAATAGTAATATTCGTTTAAAAACCCCTTGTAATATATATCCGGACCCTTTAAAAAAAAGAAATTTCGAGTAGTAACTGCGTTACAAATGATCAGGTTTCTTTCAAACACGACTCATAGCATTATATTTTTGTTTTGCGGAAATTGTGTGACTAATGAGATAAGACGACGTTGCACATATGCGACGTTTGCAAGATGGAGTTTATGTTTATTCAGAAACTAAATACTTTCGAAAGGAGTGATTCCTACACGTTGCCCTCATGTATAATATATAAAAAATCGGTATAAATACACGATCTTTTCTTTCGTTATACTGTACCTTACCCGCAAACTGAATACTTGATTTCGATCTTCTTTTTCCTTGCATTATCTATTAACTTACCTGCAACTTTTGTTCTGACCAAATCCTCTCAAGATGCAAGACATTAACAAGAAGTCTCTCATGTCAGAAAATCCCTCGGTACAAAAGGATATTGGAACCGCTCATCATACTCAGCAAGATAGGGAACAGGTGCAGCGGGTTTCTGTTCGACCCGTAGCTATAGCGATTCAAGGCTCAACTTTCTGCGATCCCCCAGCTCAAATCCGGCCAACCGATTTTGACTGGCTACGCGGATCGTCATTCACATAATTATGAGCGCCCTTCATCCTTATGGTCTCTTAAGCTGCTAACTCCAAGGCACATACGTTAATGACTAGAAGATCTTTATAAGATTATTTTATTAAATTTAAAAAGATACAGTTTCCCCTTTTGCAATATTAAGGATTCTATATTAAATGATTATTTTTTAAAAAATAATTTCTTTTCGGAACCTAAATTCCTTCTCGTGCGATATATCATCCCATTATGTTCCTTCCCGAGTTCATCCGGATATTATTTCCCCAGCGTTGTCTTTTTAGAATTTTTCCCGTATCACTAGCATTTCAATTCTTATTCCTTTGTACATTCGTTTTTACGCATTACTGCCGTTTGAAATAGATACACTCATTCTTTTCGAAAATAATTTACATAATTTGTCATCTCATGTATTAATCTTTATTGATGAAATATCAAAATATCATAATAACAATAAATTAAGAATTACGTCAATACGCTGACGAAAAATTGTTATTTTGATTGCAGTACAATGTTCGCGGATCTCTTGTTATCGGCATGTAGTATAATGCACCCCCCGCATAATGAAAAAGAGAGTGCGGTCACTCATGATTCTTTGTTTCCCGATTCTCGCACAATTTACTGTATCTGTCAAACCATTTCCAACGTCAATAAAGACATTTCAGAACACCATTCATTTATTCCCGTGCAGAATTCTAAGTTTTACCTGGTATTAACTATTGATGCAATCGCCACACTTTGCGTATTATTTTGTGGACAAGCTCCCCTTTGTTAGTTCATCTCAATTTTGTCATTCCAAAACAATTCGATGAACACAAATCCCCTCCCCCCTTGTTTCAGTCTTTGTTAGCATGGTAAAGTTTAATATAATCCTTTGTATTAGTGTGTTTTGGCCATGCATACATTATACTGTACACACAGTACATTCTGCCATTTTTTATTTTTTATCCGAACACCAAAAGCGGGAAGAAACTTTATTATTTGATTTCACGAGAAATTCCCAGATTAACTATATTATTATCGGATTGGTCTGTATTAATACAAGCAGAGATTTTTTTACCAAAAATAGATGATATGGGTGTTCTCCTTACATCACTCATGCAGCACTATTTTCGAGTGAAATTTTCGTACTTATAATTTGGGTAATTCTTTTCGAAGGCGACAAAAATGCTAGTTGAATTTTTTTTGGAGTAAGGGTTAAGGCCCGGGATTATTTGTTTCTATTTATATCGTGCTGCATAAAGATTACTTTCATCTGTATAATCATGCATAAACTACAATGGATAGCTAATATTTTAACTATTTATTGTATTGTGGTTTAATAGTGTGTTTATTATGTTGCGCATG